GGTCCGAACTGTCCGGGTCCGGTGATGTACGGGTGTCCGGTAATGTCCGGATCTCCGAACAGTCCGGACCTGTCCAGACACTGGTCTGGAAGACAGTCCGGAAGACAGTCCGGAAGTGTCCAGTGTCCAGGTCCGGGGTTATCATGGAGTAAACAATATATATTAATTACTTGTTGTGAATTCTTCTGTTCTTTTTTCTTTCATGTCAATGTGAAGAGGAGTTGATATTGCATGTGGGAAGGTGGCGAGATGTCAGGGATGAATTGTACATTGAGCATTTAGTTGCATTCTTCCAGAATTTTGCAGTTACTGTGTTTTTTCCCCTCCGCTTTATTATTTTTTCTCTGTAATGTGTAATGCTGCGCTACTCTGCTTCCAATTTGAGTTTTTTGACACCGTTGATGGACCAATGTTCATATAACAAGCCCGTTCCCCTCCGAGACAGATTGCCAGTTGTCCCTCGCGAGGGTGATACTGGGGTATATAGTCCGAAGCTTAGAAATTCGCAAAATACTAAAATAGCCATTGCAGCCACACACAAAACAGAAAACAAAAAACACAGAAAACTGAGCAAGGACACAGTGAAGCACACCAATGCTCAGAGGGACGTCACAAATGCAGTGTGTCTACTATCTAGCAATGTCTGTTGACAGCTATACGGTAACCTGGTTGTGATTGCAGATAGATCAACTGGAGGATGTGTTGAAGAAGGAGAAATTGGAGAAGCAGGAGGCTCTGAACAGGGCCAAGGATCTGGAGGCAAAGGGCGAGGCATTCAGGATGGCTGGGGAGAGATACCGGTGCATGCTCGATGAACTTACCAAGGAAATGGAGTCGACCGGTGAGACGTTGAACGAAGCCCTGTCGCAGCTGGACAAACAGGAAGAGTGTGGGAGAGCAAGACGGCGGCATGCAGAGTCCCGTTTCGCAGAGGCGCAGGAAATGAGGGCCAGGGCTGAGTGGGCCGAGGCAGAGCTAGAGAGGATGTACATTTGGGAGGGGCAGTGGGAACAGATGAAGCGGGAGCTGTACCATGAGAGAGAGTGCTTGATAAACGAGTTGACAAAGTGGCGAATGGCACAACAAGGGGGTGCTCGGCGTGCAGCTGCCGATGGCGATGTGAAAATGGCATGCTCTCTGGATAGACATACTCAGAGGGTAGCGGGCGGAGAGAGCGAAAGAGATTTGAAGCACGATGTGGGTGCAAATTGGATGGCAATGCGTACAGCAGTCGAGATATATGCACGCAGGAGGGAATCGAGGAGGACGGGTGGAAAGGGTGTGGCACATCACGTTTTAAAAGAGAGGCAGATGGGAATGATCAGGGACAACGAGCTGCGAACGTCGCAGCTGCAGAATTCCCATGGGGATGTGGGGCTAGGTTCTGGCGGTAACGAAAGAAGTGATTTATGTTATGCAGCAGAGGAGGGGAGCATTCGTGTTCAGACGAATGACACAAATTTAGTGGAAAGGATGGCACAGATGAGGTCGGAGTTGGCGGTCGTGAGCACGGAAAAGACGTTGAGAGAGAGAGAGCTTCTAGATAAGCAAGGAGAGGCTGAACGACTGTCTGAGGAGTTGGTACAAACCATGGAGGAGCTAACTAGGAGTCGACAAGAGGTGCACGCCTTGGCGAAACGTTTTGATGATGTTGATTTAGCAGTGAAGGAGCTCGAAGCTCTGAAAGCCGAGATGGCACGACTCATTCAGAAAGATGAGAAGAGGCCAGTGCAGCTGAGTGCAAAGGATTGCCTGTTACCTGAGCTTGGAGTGAAAGGCGACCATCCCAGTGCTGTGATGAGTCATTGTGAGGACCACGATGTTTGTTTGCAGCAGTGTGAACTCTGTGATAGGAAAACACAGTGTGAACAACATGATGATGATGATGATCATCATCATCATCATCATCATCATCGGGAACAATGGAGGTGTGAGAATTCAGTTGAATGCACGATACACAGAGGTGAACCTCAAGCTCAGTCAGGATTGAGAAATGAGGAGCACCATCTGACAGGTTCAGATGTGGCCAGGCAGCAGGATCAAGGAACTGCTTGCCAGGAAACAAAGGCGGGATTCGCCCAACAACAAGCTGTTTCTGTAGATAGTCAACGGAGTGAACGGGGCATGGGGGATGTACATGCAGAAGAAAAGGTTGAAGATGCATCCAGGAGACCGTCATCATCGGATGCACAAGGGGGAGAGATTAGCGGTGGGCAAATCGGGGAGGAGTCGCCGTATGAGGCAGAGGGAAAAGCTAGCAGAATGTCATCAGGTGTGGCGAGGCAGGAGCGGCTGCCGCAGAGAGATGTAAGTGCCGTGCTCACTGTGCAGTGTGGTCCTGGAAGAGTCATCGAGATCGCGCACAGAGCGAATGCAGGTCAAAAGGAAATGGCAGCTGTCGCTGGGAGGGCCATTGAGCCAGTAGGAAGGTGTCCCAAGTGTAGGTCTGTGGGGCCTTCGAAATGCAGCGAGGCCATCAAGAGACTGGGTGAGGGACTTGCAGGGAATGAGAAAATGATGTTTGATGTCGGCAAAATGATCGAGATGCTGAAAAACACACAACACCAGTTGGGGAGGATGGCTGAAGATTCCTTAATGCGCGTGGTGAAAATGGAAAAGAAGCTCCAAAGGAGTCACAGCTTTGACAAGGCAGTGGGGGACGGTCCACGGGCAGAAGCTTCCATATTGGAGAGGACACTCCGATGCAGTGAAGAGTGTGGTGAGGAGGTGGATGGGAATTTGGTGATGCAGGAGGAGAAAATGAGGGAGGATTGCCAAAGAAGTGAAGATTGTGGGACTTCCACGGAGGTGGAAGTTCATGAGCTATCTAGTGAGAGAAGAGAAGAGCAAGAAATTCAGCAACACGTTGCTGCGGAACAAGAGGATGCACGCACCGGGATCTGTGAGTCAGCTGTTACATCGGGGATGGATGTGGACAGCAGCATGACGAACGGAACGCAACAGAAGCCAACACATCATCCGCATGTAATGGGGAGCGAAGGCGTGAGGAAACACGTCGATGAAGAAGAACAGTATAAGAGGCAGCGAAACAAAGAGCTGGCAGTGGTCGATGAAGAGGTAGCAGACGGAGTTGAGGCGATCCAGAGGCTAAAATATAACCTGGAGGTCTATGTTGAGGTGCTCCTTTCACGAGAGAATAACATTAAGGATTTGAGGGACATTCTCGCCAGTATGGATGCCGCTGAGGACAAGGAAAAGGAAGTTGAGGTAGCAGACGACTTAGTGCTCAGACTGGAGAAGTGGTTTCGGAGGGTTGGAAGGGCGGAGGAGGGGAGGTCATTATGCAGCACATTAGCCAGAAAATCACCACGAGGCTCATTGTGTGGTGTTTTGATGGAAACCAACGTCAATGAAATGAGCAGGGAAGCTGCAGGAATGGGGCCTGACTACTACCTCGCTTGCACCGAGGAACAGGCGGAAGAGAAACAGCGCAAGCGGCAAGTCGCTGACAGCTCATGGATGAAGGGTATGAAGGATATGGCGAGGTGGTTCACCTGGAGGGGATTGGACAAAGTGCATATGGATGACGAGAGGGGGACGGAGAAGGGCGGAAACAAGGCCCGACATAGGGCGTTTGCAGATGCAAAGATGGCACACTCATGTTGTTTCGCTAACCATGGGAAGGCCGTTGAGGGTCAGCGGCCAATGAGCTCAAAAGAAGTGAATGAGATGCCAAGTGCTGACATGGATGCTGACGTATTTGTTGTAAGACAGGCCAATCATGTTGCTAGAGTCGGTGCCATTGTAGAGGAGACCCTCTTTTTGGCTCAATATGGAGCTCGGATTGAGGAGGTGGTTGCAAAGCTACTGCTGCAATTGGAGCTGGAAGAACTGAGGGCAGCCAAGATGATGCCAGTGGAGAGAGGGATTTCTAGGAGGTTGATGATCGCTTTGGAGAATTTACAAAACAGGGCAGAAGTAAAGCTCAATCTGGTAGAAAGGATGAAGAAGGCGATGAGCCCGGGAAAACGGACTGGAGCCCACACAAGGCAGAAGATGGTGACGAGAGAATGTGCTACAACAAAGTTAGCATCTGATGGATTTGCAGATTTTGAGGATGTCCACAACCCCGACGAGTCGATACATCTGCAGGTGGAACTTCACGCTTCCAGAAAACGAGCCGTAGATTTATCTAGGAAAACAGAACAGCTCGACAAGATGATTGCCGAAAAGGAGCGCCATGTGAAGGAGTTGATGGCAAGGCTGGATGAACTGAAGAGAGAACATGCCAGGCTTGTGGAGAAGGAAGAATGTGATTCTTCTGAGTCTGAGTTTGTAGAGGTCTGCACGGGCTCAAGAAGAGGAACATCTGAGAGTCTCGGACAAGGAAACGCGGTGAGAACAGCAGGAGCCACAGAGGAAACAATATGGGAACTTGTGGTGGGGGTCGAAAGCCAAAGTAAGGGTAGTGGAAAGAAGAGGAGACCTTCATGGCGGGAAGAGCTCCATGGACTCGTCATGGAGTTGGATCGCGAGAAATCGATGACTTGGGCCTTGCAATCGCAGGTTGAGGCATTGCGAAAGCAGGCAACGGATATGGAAGCTTTGTCCCAGCAGCCGTTAAGCATCATTGCAAGGCTTCAGGAGTCTTTGGGAATTTCCGAAGCAGAGATTGTGGAGCTGGTGGAAGTTGTGGGAAAGCAGGAGGAGGAATTGACGAGAGCAAACAGGGAAGCGGAGAGGATGCAGAGCGAGATGTCCATGAAAAACAAGGCGGAGGACACTCTGCTATCGCGGATGAAAGAGATGGAGGCAGAGCTTGAACGAAAGAGCAAGGAGCTGCTGGAGTTGAAGAAGGACATGCAGAGGCGAGAGAGCAGTCAGCAGCAAGATAGCCAGGGTTGCGACACGTTGTTAGAAGCGGGGAAGTCGTGTAGCGAAGGGGGAAGTCAGGCGCTGATGTTCAGGACGGATGCAGTGAGCATCGACGACGAAAGAGTCAAGTCCTTGGAGATGATCGAAGCCAAGATCAAGGAAAAGGAGGGACGGGAAATCTTTCTAGAGTCAGCGATCTTGCGGATGAAGGCCGATCTTCAATCCAAGGACATGGAGGTGACAAGGCTTCAGGTTGTGCTTGCAAAGACGCAGAAAGAGTGCGAAGAGCTCAGGATGGAATCGCAAAAGCAAGAGGATCGGGCATGGAAAATGCTGGAAATGGTCGAGCAGATCTCAGAGCTCTCTACCAAGGTGATGCACGCAGAGGCGGAGAAGAACAGACAGAAGCGACTTTTGTCGGAACTCGAGTACAAGTTGGAGACCATGGAGGCAAAGAAGGCTAAGACGGAAAGCAAAATGTTTGCCAGAAAGCTCAAGTACAAAGCTCTTACATGGGCTCTGGAGCAGCTGAAGAGGGAGATGGGGGACGTTAAGAGGGAAAGAGAGAGTATGGAGCTAGAGTTGGAAGAGACTAAGTCCGAGCTGCAACGGAAGACGCGGGAGATTCACTGGAAAGACAGAGAGGTGTATAATCTACGGGGGCGTGTGAATGACTTGGAGGTTGCTTTGGGAAGGAGCAGGGGAAGAGGATGGGCAAAAACAGACGCACCGGAGGAGTCTGCAATGCTCAGAAGGGTTCCAAGGGAAACTGAACCAGCTAGATGCAGGTTGGGCTTCAAAGTGGAAAGGGAGGGGCCAGAGGAAACGAGGACTCACATCGACCAGAGGTCTAGCGTACAGCCATTGAGTGAGAACAATGGCCTGCATACAACCGTAGCCGAATCAGGAAGGCCAAAGAGTGGTCAGGGATGAACGAATGCGCGCTGCAGCTATGTGGTTTAAGCTATGAAGTCAGTTGGCAACGTCATCTTCCGTCTGTCCTGTTTCACAAGCATCTCGATGCTGCCTTGCATTGAACCTGCATCACGCTGCCAAACCCAACTGGACGCCTGGCAAGGAGTCCTTCTGACTCTATGGCAGTCTATGCTACATAACAGAGCTGTGTGAGGAGTTGTCCACTGATGGCCTCTTGAACAGCACAGGGTTGAGGTGCACCTTTGCCAACGCAGAGGAGAGGACTGGATGTGGCGATTTACGCCGACTGCGGGAACAGATCAGGGAAGGATATCTGGCGTTAGCCAGCTGGAATTGTTAGACTAGCATGGGCTGGTCTATACTTGAAGGCAGGGCTTCGAAGGGGATCGTCTTTGAGGCGCAAACACAAAACCAACCTTCCTTCGCTGCGATGATTCATTCACTCCAACGAGTAGTGCATGGACGTCAATTAGCTGGTGGTTATGTCTTCTTGCCTATTTCATTTGCTAGCAATGGCCAATCTATCACGTTCTTAGTATTTGCATATCATGAAATGGGAAGGTGATAGACTATCACTTCCATCTATGTGGTCTGGTCACACAAGGACTCCCAGTTCAGGCTTCGTCGCCACATCTCTAGGTCGTTGAGAGGCCTTAGCCCTGCTGAGTCTCAGGGCGTTGCGCTGTCACGCCGGCGATGATTCGACACCAAGTAAGGGTTCACCTTGGAGGGCATATGCGTCTCTAATGGCAGAATGCAGCATAGATTGGAGGTTTGACGTAATGGTAGTGTGGATCGCTCTCTAAATCCATAACGGACAATCGTAATTTGAATATGACCATGGGACCAGGGGCCAAGGGACCATGAGACCATAGGCCTACGGGGGACCATGGGCCCTTGGCAGACTCATACCATGGAGTTATCTGTACTTGGACCAACTTTTAGCCAGTGGTCCTTTGGCATGTTCAGTGAGAAGGGGTTTCCTGAGACGTTGGGCTCGTTAGCAAGACCATGGGGGACCAAGGACCATAGGCCTATGGGGGACCATGGGCCCTTGGCAGACTCATACCATTGAGTTATCTGTACTTGGACCAGCTGTTAGCCAGTGGCCCTTAGAGCATGCTCAGTGAGAAGGGGTTTCCCGAGGAAAACCCCTCCTTCCCGAACATCCTCAAAGGGCTTGGACATTGGGCTCTTTAGCACGAACCTGGTATGTTCGCTGTTTCGGGAGCACCATCATTGAAGAGAGAGAGCGTTCGCTGTTTCGGAAGCACCATCATCGAAGAGAACGCGCACAAGTGATGGTCAGACACCATCTAGCAAGGATTTGACTTTGCACTCCCGACCCGTTTCCCTCCCTCGTCCTGTTTACTGGATGTACTGACTTGCCATTCAACTATGTATTTGTTCTCTGGTCCTCGACATCCATTTTGGTAGAGCATCATGATGATGGAATAGTTAGTCGTTGACTCATCAGCATCAGGCTGAGGAAAATACTATGGAGACATGTGTGCTTGTTCACTTGTCTGAGGTACGAGTCGTTGATCGTTGTAGAATATTTGACTGCCCCCCCCGAATAGATTGACACGAAAATAGGGTCATTTTTCAGCACGCTAACCTTCAGTTGATTTCCACCAGCAAGTAGGAAACCAATCCGCTGTGCAGCGTCCTTGTGGTGGGCGGTGCTCATGTCTGCTGCAAACACGTCTCGAGACAGGTTACATATCCAACCGACAACTTCCTCACCGATACCGAGCAGATGACGGTTTACGTCTTTCCTGATGCCTAGATGATCTGCAGTAAGTTCCTTTTTCTTTTTCCTTTTTCCTTGTTTTTTTTTTGCAGTGTTTTACTCATCTGCTTCCAGTGTAGTTCGAACTCAGGTCTGTATTTCAACAGTTCAGTCAGGGAGGGGGGGGGGGGGGGTACCAACTGAGCTAGGCCAGTTGGTATCTGAAGCAACTTTCGACGTTGTAAATATGCAATTCGGGTCCCCTGTGCAGTTGGCATAATTCTTTGGTGGGTGACGAGTTACGGGGCAATGTACGAGGGCCTTTTCAGCTTGGCCGCCTCAGCATCTAGTTGGAAATGGGAGGAGCCATTCTATATTTTATTCCCCACCTCGATGAAGACGATCTCCTGAAGATGTCTAGCTAGATCTGGCGTGATGCGATGATGATCCACAATTTTTTCACAATTCCGAATTCTTTGACAAGTCAAAGTTGTTCTTTGGCGATTCAGAATTCTCTGACGATTCAGACACTCTGTTGATACCCTGATCGTATCAGGGTTTTAATAGGACAAACTGGAATGCTTTGGTACAGCACTCAAAGGACAGACAAATGTGCTCGCTTCGCTGAGCTGGATATGTCCTACTAGAGGGGCAAGCATTGCTAGATAAGATAGCCCACAGCTAGGGCGCGTCTGGTCGTGATGTATGTATGGTGAAGCCAAGGGGCCGCATCTGACGGAAACTCTGATGAACCAGAGAGTTTGAACTGTCAAGCTCAGGCCTCCAAGCTGCAGCCAGAAAAGGTAGTAGCATCCACAAACATGCTCAGCTGTGCAGCACATGCAATCAGACGAGCATCTGGCAGGCTGGCCAGGGTGCCAGGCCTTGCCTTTGCATTCAGATTCATGATCCCCAAGAGGCAATCTCACCTTTCCTAAGGCCCAAGTTCTTGCCCAGATTCATGCTCTATTCTGCCTTTTGCAAGTTTCCATACGTGGTGGTTCTCTGTCTACCTCGGGACACATGCAGAAGGAGCATCTCAAGGCCACACCCCAAATAGCGGACCCGACCAACCGACGACTCCGACACACGGATCCTAGACAGCCTTGTGGAAAGCTTGCCTGTTTGACTGTCTTGGCCCAGTCTCTAGATAGCTGTTTTCAAGAAGGCGGCGCCCTGAGGGAGTCTGGTTCAGACAGCGAACAGGCTTTGCACTGCCAACGCAGCTGAGGTGGAAGAGGTGATAAGTGTGCTGAATTTCTAAGTATGTGAAACGGCGACTGTCGTGCGAAGGGGGGCATGATGGGTGTGTGATATCGATGAGATGGCACCTGACTGTAAGACAAGAGGATTATTTTACGAGTGATGAACCGAATGTGAGTTTCAGGGAGAAAGCGGGTTGTAGATACGAATGAGGCATGTCGTGTCGTGTCGTGTCGTGTCGTGTCGTGTCGTGGAGGAGTTATGAACCTCTGATCAGAAGGGGTTGACGAGATTGAGCATGACTGAGGCTCTATCTAGTATCTGCAACAACTTAGGTTTGTAATGGATGGATGGATACTGGAAGGCTTGGTAGGGTTTTTGTAGTCGTGGACGGATTTGCCCTGTGCTGAGTCTTCAGCCTTGGCCGGCGCAGGGAAGAGGTGTTCCTTGTTTTTTGTTTTTTGTTTTTTTTCCAAGGTGTTTTAACGTCGAAGTAGATTTGTCGAGCATGCATTCTTACTTCGAAATTCAAGGTTTGAAATCTTGTGGCCTTTTGGCTAAAAATAGATCAAGTGCAGTATCGGTTCTGATCAGTTTAATATCTGATCCGTGGTTCATCGGACCACAATATGATATTAAATCAAAAAAAAAAAAAAAATCATCGAAGCCGATCAGTGATTACTGTTTGTTTTTTTTTGTTTTTTTTTGTTTTTTTTTTGTTTTTTTTTGTTTTTTTTTAAATACAGGTCTTAACAGGGCCGGCTCCTCCGATTCTGGGGAGCCACAGTGTGTGGTTACTCCTCTTTTTTTTTCCTCTTTATTAAGAGCCTTGCGACCATAATCCCCCCGGAACCCATAAACTTTGATTTCTCACAAGGTGCTGGCAGAGTCATCCAATAGACACCCGCCCGTAGAACAGTGTGTTTGAAATGGTATCTGGATTCCAACTCGGGTCTGTATTTCACCAGTTCATAGGTGTACCAACTGAGCTAGGCCCATTGGTACGAGTCCGGTACGACAGTGTGGTTCCTATTCCACCATGAAGGCAAAAAATTAAAGATGAATGATATGATACCCCTCTTGATGCGTCCCCCACATTAGGACATGGGGAACCCTGAGAGCATTGATTGCTTCCCTCAGGGAAGGGTTGACTGTCATCAAAACCCATGTTCTGGTCATCCCACCCTCCAACCTATCCGCTCTCTGCCCTTGAAAAATAGCATTCCTGAAAAACAGCCAATAGCATCCCTCTCACTCTCCTCAAGAGCATCCCTCTCACTCTCCTCAAGAGCACACCTCTCACTCTTCTCCATGAAGACTGCCAGATAAACCCTAAACCAGTGTTGCACACGCCAACCGTCGGCGACCCCTGACTGGTCGGCACCTACCGGTCGGGGGTCGTCGGCACCCCGCAATTTTTTTTATTATTATTTTTATTTTTATTTTTTTATTTTTTTTTTTCCCGTCCAGAACCCCTAATAACCCCACAAACACCCCCATACCCACCCCAAATACCCCCATACCCCCCCCCAAACCCACAAACCGGCCCCA